AATTATTACCGTCAAAAAGGAGTCTACAACTACAGAACATTAGTTGCGAATGACCATTTTATGACCCTGTTTCTAGTTACTTTTAAAAAATAGAATTTTAATTTAGTTTTTAGGACTGCATATCCGAACGTACAAAAGTAATGAATTAATGAAAATCGGAACTCATCTAAAAATGGTTGCAATGTAGCTAAGACATACGGATCATCTGATTAGGTCACTATACGTGACGTAACTGCGCAACTGTTCTGACTGGAGTATAAATGCTTGGTAAAATAGAAACGTTGTCTTTTTAATCCTAAGATATTTTCTATATATTAATGTTAAATGAATTTACTTTAAGGCAAAAGGCTTATATTTTGCATAAGAAATTAATGTACAACATTTGTGGTTCCAAAAACTTTATTTATTTACAAGCTTAGCTTCAAGTCCCATCGAAAAAAAAAATTGAACTCCTTCAGCGAGAATAAAATAAGGATTCTACCAATGAAGTAAAGTAAAGTAACACTTATTTCAGCAATTAGGCAATACATTCGAAAAGATATCAAATGCACAAAGAATTTAAGAAAATTGTGCGTGAATTTGTTCATTGTAATGCAACTTAACTTACATTTTGCATAAGTTTCTATTAATATTGAAAATTAAATTAAATTAAATTACTGTAACTAATGCAACTTAACTTACTAGCCATGCATTAAATTAAATTAAATTATTATTAAATTTATCACCCACATGATTTTATTTAGCAGGCTAAAATAAGCGCTCGCCAATGTACATACGACTTAATCGTTAAGGTGAGACTCAAATTTGGGATAATCTGAGACGAAAAAGAGAAAAAGCATCACACCGTTGCTTAAAGAATCTTCAGAGTCACAATACTCTGATAAATTATTAATGTTAGCAAACAAAGGATACTTAGATCAATGCGTTCATCTTTCAATTCCATAAAGGCGAGCTGCCAAAATTTCTAAGAGGGAGAATATGGAGTCTAATATAGTGCTATAATGTTATCCTAACTTGGCTTCACTTATGGACTATATATTTCCGTTTATGTGAAGCGTGTTATTGTTACTAAATTGCTCCTCCGCACAAATTTCAAAGGCTGAAGCTGTCTAGTAGTTCTTCCCATTTTCTATGCTCCTGGGAGCTTTTTTGAATTGAAAGGGAGCGTTAACAACGAATTGAGTGTCGGTGCAGAAGGGAAATTAATAATTAATATCGCCCGTGACTTGGCGTTTTTTCGCGCCTTGCCATCTAATTGGGTTTCTTCGCCTTGAATAATTGTTTTCCGGCGATATGGATTTTTCCTGTCTTTTTATAGCCCGAATCTCTGTACACAAATCACGCTTAGCTGGGCAATATTAAGTATTGCCAACAACTATTGGTGTTATTGCGTTCGTTAATCGAAACAGCCAATTAGGGAATTTTAATATAGGCACCCTACTCGATAAAACTCGCAATTTTACTCGAATTTGCACGTTTTCTAATTTTCCGGGTATTAAATTTGGGTCGCGTCTTTACTGTTTAGTCGACCGCAAATAAAGTCCCTTAATTGACATTCAGCCCATGGCCAACTCAAGACATATTAAAAGTAATACATCATCTTTTGTATTAAAGAGAAAGAATTGCTTGAAAAGTCTGGGATCATTTCTCTTACGACCTTTTGACAAGAAAATACGCATCGCGATGCATCGGGATCCAGCCGGTTTCAAATAAGTCTTATTTCGAGCAGACATTTTTATCCTCACGTGAATAATGACATCGATTGAGTGTGGTTCACGACAAGTGGACAACGTGTTGATAAAGTTGGTTCATATAATTTATTGTCCTTATATTATTATATTCTCGTCAGATATATTTTCGTATGCCTAATTTGCTGGTAGCGTATACAGGGTTATTCATAAAGAATGGTGAATCTCTAAATTTGAGATAATAGACACCAAAATTTTATAAATTATATAATTGAGAAAGTCTCTATAGTAGAGCAATAAAAATTGGAAGTTTTAGGTTTTTTGACAGGTCAATTTAACTCTGCTTGTTTTTGACTTATTTGAAATTAAGAAGTTCAAGGTATTTTTTCTGCCTTTTTTAAATAAATACTTAAAAAATGAAAAGGTATGAGAAAAAATAATGATGATAATAGATAAATTAAATAGAAGGGAGTAGAAAATAGTATATTATGCAAGAAGTGCGGTAAACGGCATTTGACTTATGAGTTTAATAAACGAGTGAGTTAAAAAGTTTACCGAACGTGTTGCATACTATACTTTTTCTACGACCATTAGTTCTTGGGTATATTTTCGCAAAACACGAATACGTTCACTGACATGACTGACAGAATTGACAAACGTCAAAATTCAAAACGTGGGAAATATCTTCGAAAACATCCGATTGCTCCCAAACCCTTGCAGTAAAATCCCGGAAATGTCCGAAGTGACTCGGATTCGTGGGAAACTGACGTGGCAAAGCGACGCTTCCCATACCCTAGATCGGTGCGTAATTAGATATTTTACAGACGGGAGTAGAAAAATATAGTTTTTCTACACCTGTCTGTAAAATACCTAATTACCCAACGATCTAGGGTATGGGAAGCGTCGCTTTACCACGTCAGTTTCCCATGAATCCGGGCCACTTCGGACATTTCTGGGATATTATTGCACAGGTTTGGAAGCAATCGGATGTTTTCGGAGATTTTACCGCATGGCTTGAATTTTGACGTTTGTCAATTCTGACGGTTATATCAGTGAATATATTCGTGTTGTTTTGCGAAAACGTACCCAAAAACTAATGGTCGTCGAAAAAGTATAGTATGTTTGTACCAGCATCAGTCAAATTTACATGTCATTATGTGTTAGCTGGTAATCGTAATGCGGCGACATAACTATTTTTCTCATAGTGAGGTTTATATGAACTGTAATTTTGCTCAAGAAAATATTAGTGGACTTGCAGAGTGGTGAAGATATCTTCAACTATAGCCAAATCTTTACAACCATTAAGATGAAAGAGAAATAATTATTTCGTCCGAAAGCAAATAATGGTGCTCCAAAGAAGAAGATGAAATTTTAACTTATGTATCGGCAACTCCAGATTTGAGTAGTCATCGGTAAAATACGGCGACGATAAGTCCATTTACAGAATTTTCGGAAAAGAAAAACTCTATCCGTTTCATTATACTACTGTTGACCATTGACAGTATGTGCTCAATTTTTACAAAATATGCATATCGAAAATCCAAATTTTTACCGACTAGGCTACATTTGTGGTCATTTTAAATTGGCGGCTAATCTAAATGGGTCTCGTTATGGTAATAATTAATATTCGTTATTTTGTTGGTTTTCGTACCATTTAAGAAAAAACAACCTTTTTAAATGCAAATAAGTCGGAAACCGACTGAGTTAGACGGTCTGATCAAAAATATTGTTTCAATGAGAAATTAAAGATTTTTTCAAATTTTCAAACTTTGAACGTCCTGTATCTGATATTAGTATGCGGCATGTTGAGCTCAATCATAATATTTTGGTGTCTAGTACCTCTAATTTAGAGATTGCTCATTCTTCATGAATCGCCATGTAGATATATAGATATATTGTACCAAATTAAATTAAATTGAAATAAAATCATAATACAAAATAATTGTCTGGTGAGTCTTAGCTGTAAACTATCATTGTATCGATATCCCACCACTGGTTCCAGTTTTCGGAGATTGATTTCTTTTAGTACTCATTGATCATATTTTATGTCTCAATTTAATTGGTAGAATTGGTGGAAAATATTTTGCTCGTTGAAAAGCGCTCAATAATTTGCGCTACTTCATCGGCTACGACCGTCCCTTTTGTCAATCAAATTCTTCTGACAGTGATGGTTTTATTTTAAAAAATGCAGCACATGTTATTGAAATTCGTTGTTTTGGGTTATACCAGGTGTCCAAAAAGGAGGGAAACAAGGGATGCAACTTTGAAATTTTACAGGATAAATTCGTTTTTACATTATTTTTCCTACTATCTACTCTAAAATGCTTACTTTTTGGGTACGTTTTTGCAAAACGACTAACGTTGCACGTGACGATCAGAACTGACTTCAAAATACCATCAGTGTTTCAAATCTGCCGATAATATTTTATTACTTCTAATCCGGTGACTAAAGCCGCGGAAACGCTCGAATTTTCTCTCGAGCGTAGGTTTTAAAGCAACACTTTGGAGAACTCCTGATTAGTGCATAATTGGGTATTTTGGGGTCGGGAGTAGAAAAAATACCTTAAAACGACGGTATGATAACACTAAAGTCGAATTTGGAAAAAACCTGACGCTTAATGGCATGCCATCTGAATTTGTAAAAACATGGAGGTTTCCATTTAACATTTCATTCCATCACCAGTGGGATTGGATGGGGGGTCGTGTTTGATTAGGACACCAATAATTATGCGCATTAAAGAAAAGAATTTGAATTTCTGACTGTCAAATAAGAAAATTTACTTCAAATATTCAAATATTATCTATCCAAAAAATACTTTACTGAAAAATCGGACTAAAAAATCAAAGTGTATGTTTCAACCACTCGACGCGTGTGTTAGTGACTGATAATACATAAAAAGGAAGACAATATGTATGTATGCTGTTTTTTTTATGTACTCTAGGTGCTCTAAAGCATATGTTATCATGATTTCTGCTTTGGAAACGTTAGATGCTCTTTACTTGATCAAATGTTTTTGTGAGTAGGTGTGACCAAAGTTTACGTAACTGAAAACTGTGTCTTATGCCGAGAACAGCCCTGTTTCTATGTAAGTATAATTAGAAACTTAATTGGCCGTGATAATAATGTTCAGCGCTCAGGCGGTGAATCTAATCCGGCGGAAGCATTACGTTACATACTGGAAATGAAAACTATTTTCCATTTTTTCAGAGAAAACATTCGAAGCTAGTTGACACCCTATCCGCGCAGGGTTTAGCGGCGCTCCAAGCAATTTTGAGGCTGGGTCTCTCCAGTATCCCGCGGACTGTCGCAAAGATAACGGAAAAGCTCCCTCGATACTCAATCGGCGTAAATCGCGAAATTTCCGGCATATCCGGAAATTGTGGGAAACAGTTTTTGATGATCGTCGAAGTTAAAGTGTTCGGAAAAACTTAAGGTTAGGTGTATATCGGCGAAAACTTATCGCACTTTACGGATGGTTTTAAGGGAGTTTGTCGAGCAGTGAAAAGTTTTATATGCGGTGTAACCTGCAAGATAAGGGTAAGTGACTTTATTAACACGATATAACGCACACATCTCGTTAATAAGTACGTTCTGCTGTGTAAATGGTTCACGAATAGCCACAACAACAATTTAACAGAACAATTTTGTTTAGCTGTGGTATGTATTATAAGATTTGTGCGCTATCGCGTTGCGTTGGTATGCGTATATTTCCGCGTGGCGCTTTATTACACTTGAAAAAATAGTGTAACATATGTTTTTTTTATCTTCCCTGAGATTATACGGTTCAAAATATTAAGGGTATTTAAACATAATCTCATCTCTCTGATTTCCTTTCCATTTGTTTTCTTGGGGTGCTATATCTTACGTATGTTTATTTTGGTTGCGTGTTCTCCATTCTTATGGAGATTTTTGGAACTTAATTTTTTTGCCTAAGTTTGACGATTAGTAAGAAAGCTCAAAATGAAATTTTGAAAAATGTTGCGTGATATTCTTCACTTAAAGCGAGTGGCGCAGCAAATATGTGCAGGGCGTTTCCTAAGCTGAGGGCGATGGCTAATCAAGCCGGACTTCAGAAAAACGGCGGAAGTTCCGGTTCACAAATTGTGATTTCTCCAAAAATTTACTGACATTGTGTGTGTCGTCGGTGTTTGATGATATTGTAACGTTAACGTTATTATGAAAGTGCATATTGACTTAATGAAAGAGGAGGTTGTTTGTTTGGTTTTAATTAGCGTTAATAACGTTTTAACAGTTTTAACCGACGGTTAACAAAGAAAGCTTAAAAAAATATATAAAAAAAAACATTTAGAGCGTTCTGTAATAAAATCGGCAAATGTTATAGCCCTTCAGGGATAATGGTTGAGTAACTCTGGGCCCAAATTGTCAAGTCTCTGTGAATTAAATCATATTACAATTAAACTTATAAAAGCTGCTGTACCCACCGGTGCCTTAAATTGAATATTGTTATTTTTTTATCCTGGATTATGGTAAGTTATTATTTCTCTTGTATATTTAACCCCTAGCTATTCCAACTTTTATATCAGACCTTACGTCATTCGAATTTTTTTTCCGAATTTGGAAGAGACAGACTGGTCATAAGCCAAAACATGTCATCAATAAAAAGAGCAATAAATGAAAATTAAATCCTACTTATGCATGTTATAGTTTACGTTTTAAACGCAGCACTACATAGCGCTTATTGCTATGTAGAATACATTTGAAACATTTTATTAACTAGTCTAAATGGTCTATATTTTAAAACAGTTTCCGTATAAACGTTAATTTCAATAATTAATTAATTAGTAAAGAGTGGCAAGTGATTAAAGTAAAAAATGTGCTTTCTCGCATAAAATTGGCATCGGATCAAATATAAATTTTACAAATTTATAAAAAATACTGAAAATCAATTTACAATTTGAACAGTGGAAATTGTTGTTGTAAATTTGTACTCGTTAGTCCAATAATTAAAATCTTTTTTTTTTCAATATTCGAATCCTCAATTTTTTTTAGTTGGTTGGTTGGCCTGAAAAATTTTTAATGGTTTCTGCAGGATCCATCGCAGTAGCAGGATTTAGCTAAAGTTATTGGATATATTGATTGCTGTTTGCTCTTAACAAGATATGGACACAACTCTTTTTTTTTCAAATCAAATTAAATAAATTAATAAAAGCAATGTTTAAGATAAACAAACGCAAATTCTCTTTGACAATACCAATGCCAAATTAATAATTGGTTAGCGTCTATTTACTCAATTGTTGCAAAAGCACGGTCGAAATATAGACCAAAGTGATTCACGATTGAAGTCATAAATAAAGATAAACGCAATTTATGAATCCAAATCGCGGATATTTTTGATTACATTTTTTGGTGCCACTCTCGTTTATATCCTAACGAATTGATAAATAGTATTGGTCAATCGTTAATTAAAAAAAGGACTTGTTTTCCTCAGCCATGAGAAAAGTCAAATTAGTTTTTCTTTTAATCGATATCTTCATTTTTAAATGACGGAGTCTCTCTAGAGTGGACCTAAAAAATGTTTGAGGATAATGAAAATCATTTAATTAATTTTTTAACTAATTTCACCTAGTTTTTTTATTTTTGATTCAGTTTCAATTACTCGGATTTTAGCGGAAAGTTGATGGGATGTAGTCATAATACGCTACCTGAAGTTACAAAGTAACGAATTTAAAAGAAACATTTTGGTTAGTTTACTAATAGTATTAATAGAAAATATGATGGAAAATTAGTGATATACGGGCAAGACATTTTTCGGAACGCACGGTGAAGCGGGTTATTCAGCACTACCACTGATATCCGCTTTTGTCTTGTCCCTACCCAAAAAAAAAATTGGTTATTGGGTTTAGGTATGAAAGTTGTAATTAGTTTTTATAGCGAGGGTCCGTCAAAAGTGAATATTACTAGAAATACTATAAATTACATGGGATTCGAATTCGAAAAGTACTAGTTAGATATTTTCTCGGTTGATTGCTAATCCCTATCAAGTGAATAAATTTTAAGTAAAAAAATTTGTTCAAAACTTATCCCTAGCTTTCATAAATTATACAATTAATAAAGATTAATTTCTACTTTTTAATGCGATTTTCCTTGAAGCGAAGGAAAACTAAGATTGCACATTATACAACAAAGAAATCTTTATAAGAATTTTTGAAATATTTATCCATTTTGAAAACCGCACATCTTCAAATCATTTTTTTGGAGTTCTAGTTCATCCAATACTACGATCAATCTTCAAGTCCATGGCTTTCTATAAGTAATTTTAATAATAATAATATTATGTAAGTATTCGTATTTTTTATATTTAAAATAAGACAACACATTATTACGTAAAACTATTCAAAACTCTCCATTTCCAAGACCATGAAAATGTTGATCAAAATGTGAATTTTAAAATCATGATTCAAGTGAGTCTGAAAATTGTATTACTTTTTAACATTACAATTTTAACCAAAAACTTTCACAGTCGCCAAATGGAAAATCTAAATGAAAAGTAAACAAAAAATTCCTTTACTTGGATATTTTTTTATTGGCATTTGGGTTATGAAAGTTTTTGGTTAATAATTTACTGATATGACCTTTTCACAGTTTTGAAATTCCTATTTCCACCAATTTTGGAGCCGTGTAAAAAAGAACGCTGTGTATAGTTTTTGATTAAATTTTGAAAAATCCAGTTTTGAAAGATCCTGATTAACCGCGTGTTGTCAAATTAAAAAAAAAAATTGTTAATACAGGTTTCACAAAAATCATGTCGTGTGATGATCATCTCAAATGGAAATTTGGATGGAGTCCACCTTTGAAATCATACAACGCTATCAAAATTTATTGGGGGTCCCTAAGTCAAATTGAAACACGCTTTATATAGAGTGTTCGAAAAATAGACGGATGTATTTTAATTCGAAGTTTTTATAAACATGAATCCGCAAACGCAATGTTTTCAAGACACTAAGAATATTAGAACAAAAAACGGTTTTGTTACAATATGTAAAATATTTTTTGTCCTAGTTTTACTTTAACTATATTATTGTCAATGTCAATGTACGCCACTGTTTTTTTTGCAATTTTAGTCATTTCCTTTAATCATGTCTCGTTTTCGAGCAAAATAATAAAACTTATGAAAATTGACCTAACGTATTTTTAAGAACACTAATTTTTGAACATTTTGATGACAATAAAATTAGTTAAAAAAAATAATATTAAACAAAATGATAAAAATGGCTACCATTAGCGATTTTTCTAACAATCGTTTTTGTTTTCAATTTTAAGCAAAAAATGTTTTTCATATTTTTTAACAAGGTAAATTCCCCTAAAATATCATCGTCTACTTGACACTTTGTTTAGTAAACTGTGAAAACCGACATTTTGGTATTTATAAATTACAAATTGACAGGACGTACAGAGTTGCTATAAAAATACCTGGACAGGCATAATAGTTGCACAGTACTAATTTAAACTGTAAAAGAGAAGTACCTAAAGACAAAAATAATGCACACCAGTAATTTTTACTTCAAAGGAATCATGTGTTCTTGAATTAAAACCATTCACAATATTCCCTCCAATGGTGTACAATTATGTGTACGTGTACGTGTATTATTAATCAATCCAACTTTTACTTTATGTATCACTTAGTTGGGTCTTACCTACTAATAACGTGGGGGTATTAAATTGGGAATGTTAAAAGCACAAGGTGTTACAAAAACTAGGTCAGTAAGTCAATATGGTAAAAAATATGAATTTGTGTAGTTTTCTTTAATTATCTTGATAATTGTAAAAAAAAACGGGTGAGATAAATTCAATATTTTCCGAAAACAAAAATTTTACTTGAAGTCCATAGAAGTTCGTCAGAAAAAAACCGACCATTAATATTTTTATCATTATTTCTATAAGATTTTTGATTAAAATCAGCCAGAAACTATTTGTTTATAATTTGGCCTCTGAAAGTTAGCTTTCATATCCTGTATATCCCATTACTTTGTATGGTTAACGAACTACTTTTTTGTAACATCCTCTGTGTCTATTTGGTGCCTTAACATTAAAAAAAATCTCTTAAACCAAAGAAATATTTTTTTCGAAATATCTAGTTTGACTCCATCTGAATCTCTAGACGTCTTTTCACTGACAACACGTTGAACTTAAAATTCAGAATATTTCGCGTTCATTATAAATTATAATAGAAGCACCTTATGCAAATGTTAAGTTACATCTCCTTTTCGCATACAAACGTTCTTTATTTTTAACTCCGCGTTTAACCATTTAAAATGGGCTCTTAAAATTATTTTGTTGAATATGTATTCACTCGAAAGCCCTTTTCACTTACATTGACGAAATTAAACGATATTAACAGTTTTAACGCAAACCAACGAACTACTACTGCTACTACAGAAAATTGCTGCTTCCAAAACTTTACAAATTCCAACACGCATCAAATGGGAACGGTTGAACTGTCAATTGAAGAAGAATGCCTTGCGTATTGCGTTAATATAGCTAATGGCATTTAGGTATTTTAATTAAATTTGCTCCAC